CAATAATGAGGATCAAATGCATGCCAGCGCCACCTACATGACGGACAACACTATTCGACCGCCACCCTTGCAGCCATTCTATAACTCAGGAACTACTTGACCGATCGGAACGAACGAAACACCATTCGAATCAGGGGGTACGATTTCATCAGCCGTTTCGAAGCTCGTGACCCCAGGTGACCTCGGTGACCTCAAGAAGTCAACTCGGCATTGACGCCTATTGCAGCCATTCTATAACTCAGGAACTACTGGGCCGATCGCGACGAAAACACCACCAGTCGAATCAGCGTATGTGATTTCATGAGCCGTTTTGAATATGGTGACATCAGGTGACCTCGGTGACCTCAAAAGGTCAACTTAATGTGTTCGCCTATTGCAGCCATTCTATAACTCAGGAACTACTGGGCTGATCGCGACGAAAACACCACCAGTCGATTCAGCGTATGCGATTTCATCAGCCGTTTCGAATATGGTGACCTCAGGTGACCTCGGTGACCTTGGGAGGTCACATGACCGTTGTGGCCTATGGCAGCCATTCTATAACTCAGGAACTACTGGGCCGATCGTGACGAAAACACTACCAGTCGATTCATCGTATGCAATTTCATCAGCCGTTTCGAACATGGTGACCTCAGGTGACCTAGGTAACCTTGGGAGGTCACATGACCAATGTGGCCTAATGCAGCCATTCTATAACTCAGGAACTACTGGGCCGATCGCGACGAAAACACTACCAGTCGCTTTAGCGTGTGCGATTTCATCAGCCGTTTCGAATATGGTGACCTCAGGTGACCTCGGTGACCTCAAAAGGTCAACTTAACGTTTTCGCCTATTGCAGCCATTCTATAACTCAGGAACTACTGGGCCGATCGTGACGAAGACACCACCAGTCGATTCAGCGTATGTGATTTCATTAGCCGTTTCGAATATGGTGACCTCAGGTGACCTCAGTGACCTTGGGAGGTCACATGACCGATGTGGCCTATGGCAGCCATTCTATAACTCAGGAACTACGGGGCCGATCGCGACGAAAACACTACCAGTCGATTCACCGTATGCGATTTCACCAGCCGTTTCGAATATGGTGACCTCAGGTGACCTCGGTGACCTTGGGAGGTCACATGACCGATGTGGCCTATGGCAGCCATTCTATAACTCAGGAACTACTGGGCCGATCGCGACGAAAACACCACCAGTCGATTCAGCGTATGCGATTTCATCAGCCGTTTCGAATATGGTGACCTCAGGTGACCTCGGTGACCTCAAAGGGTCAACTTAACATTTTCGCCTATTGCAGCCATTCTATAACTCAGGAACTACTGGGCCGATCGTGACGAAAACACCACCAGTCGATTCAGCGTATGCGATTCATCAGCCGTTTAGAATATGGTGACCTCAGGTGACCTCGGTGACCTTGGGAGGTCACATGACCGTTGTGGCCTATGGCAGCCATTCTATAACTCAGGAACTACTGGGCCGATCGTGACAAAAACACCACCAGTCGATTCAGAGTATGCGATTTCATCAGCCGTTTCGAATATGGTGACCTCAGGTGACTTTAGTGACCTTGGGAGGTCACATGACCGATGTGGCCTATGGCAGCCATTCTATAACTCAGGAACTACTGGGCCGATCGCGACGAAAACACCACCAGTCGATTCAGCGTATGCGATTTCATCAGCCGTTTCGAATATGGTGACCTCAGGTGACCTCGGTGACCTTGGGAGGTCACATGACCGTTGTGGCCTATGGCAGCCATTCTATAACTCAGGAACTACTTGGCCGATCGCGACGAAAATACCACCAGTCGATTCAGCGTATGCGATTTCATTAGCCGTTTCGAATATGGTGACCTCAGGTGACCTCGGTGACCTCAAAAGGTCAACTTAACGTTTTCGCCTATTGCAGCCATTCTGTAACTCAGGAACTACTAATCCGATCGTGACGAAAACACCAGCAGTCGATTCAGCGTATGCGATTTCATCAGCCGTTTCGAATATGGTGACCTCAGGTGACCTCAGTGACCTTGGGAGGTCACATGACCGATGTGGCCTATGGCAGCCATTCTATAACTCAGGAACTACTGGGCCGATCGCGACGAAAACACTACCAGTCGATTCAGCGTATGCGATTTCATTAGCCGTTTCGAATATGGTGACCTCAGGTGACCTCGGTGACCTCAAAAGGTCAACTTAACGTTTTCGCCTATTGCAGCCATTCTATAACTCAGGAACTACTGGGCCGATCGTGACGAAAACACCACCAGTCGATTCAGCGTATGCGAATTCATCAGCCGTTTCGAATATGGTGGCCTCAGGTGACCTCGGTGACCTCAAAAGGTCAACTTAACGTTTTCGTCTATTGCAGCCATTCTATAACTCAGGAACTACTGGGCCGATCGTTACGAAAACACCACCAGTCGATTCAGCGTATGCGATTTCATCAGCCGTTTCGAATATGGTGACCTCAGGTGACCTCAGTGACCTTGGGAGGTCACATGACCGATGTGGCCTATGGCAGCCATTCTATAACCATGGAGTATCTACTTCATCCATGCTATAACTCAGGAACTACTGGGCGGATCGCGACGAAAACACCACCAGTCGATTCAGCGTATGCGATTTCATCAGCCGTTTCGAATATGGTGATCTCAGGTGACCTCGGTGACCTTGGGAGGTCACATAAAATGGCTGTCATAGGCCACATTGGTCATGTGACCTCCCAAGGTCACTGAGGTCACCTGAGGTCACCATATTCGAAACGGCTGATGAAATCGCATACGCTGAATCGACTGGTGGTGTTTTCGTCACGCTCGGCCCGGTAGTTCCTGAGTTATAGAATGGCTGCAATAGGCGAAAACGTTAAGTTGACCTTTTGAGGTCACCGAGGTCACCTGAGGTCACCATATTTCGAAACGGCTTATGAAATCGCATACGCTGAATCGACTGGTGGTGTTTTCGTCGCGATCACCCCAGTAGTTCCTGAGTTAAAGAATGGCTGCAATAGGCCACATTGGTCATGTGACCTCCCAAGGTCACCGTGGTCACCTGAGGTCACCATATTCGAAACGGCTGATGAAATCGCATACGCTGAATCGACTGGTGGTGTTTTCGTCACGATCGGCCCAGTAGTTCCTGAGTTATAGAATGGCTGCAATAGGCGAAAACGTTAAGTTGACCTTTTGAGGTCATCGAGGTCACCTGAGGTCACCATATTCGAAACGGCTGATGAAATCGCATACACTGAATCGACTGGTGGTGTTTTCGTCGCGATCGGCCCAGTAGTTCCTGAGTTATAGAATGGCTGCAATAGGCGAAAACGTTAAGTTGACCTTTTGAGGTCACCGAGGTCACCTGAGGTCACCATATTTCGAAACGGCTGATGAAATCGCATACGCTGAATCGACTGGTGGTGTTTTCGTCGCGATCACCCCAGTAGTTCCTGAGTTAAAGAATGGCTGCAATAGGCCACATTGGTCATGTGACCTCCCAAGGTCACCGTGGTCACCTGAGGTCACCATATTCGAAACGGCTGATGAAATCGCATACGCTGAATCGACTGGTGGTGTTTTCGTCACGATCGGCCCAGTAGTTCCTGAGTTATAGAATGGCTGCAATAGGCGAAAACGTTAAGTTGACCTTTTGAGGTCATCGAGGTCACCTGAGGTCACCATATTCGAAACGGCTGATGAAATCGCATACACTGAATCGACTGGTGGTGTTTTCGTCGCGATCGGCCCAGTAGTTCCTGAGTTATAGAATGGCTGCCATAGGCCACAACGGTCATGTGACCTCCCAAGGTCACCGAGGTCACCTGAGGTCACCATATTCGAAACGGCTGATGAAATCGCATACGCTGAATCGACTGGTGGTGTTTTCGTCGCGATCGTCCCAGTAGTTCCTGAGTTATAGAATGGCTGCCTTAGGCCACATCGGTCATGTGACCTCCCAAGGTCACTGAGGTCACCTGAGGTCACCATATTCGAAACGGCTGATGAAATCGCATACGCTGAATCGACTGGTGGTGTTTTTGTCACGATCGACCCAGCAGTTCCTGAGTTATAGAATGGCTGCAATAGGCGAAAACGTTAAGTTGACCTTTTGAGGTCACCGAGGTCACCTGAGGTCACCATATTTGAAACGGCTGATGAAATCGCATACGCTGAATCGACTGGTGGTGTTTTCGTCGCGATCGGCCCAGTAGTTCCTGAGTTATAGAATGGCTGCCATAGGCCACATCGGTCATGTGACCTCCCAAGGTCACTGAGGTCACTTGAGGTCACCATATTCGAAACGGCTGATGAAATCGCATACGCTGAATCGACTGGTGGTGTTTTCGTCACGATCGGCCCAGTAGTTCCTGAGTTATGGAATGGCTGCAATAGGCGAAAACGTTAAGTTGACCTTTTGAGGTCACCGAGGTCACCTGAGGTCACCATATTCGAAACGGCTGATGAAATCGCATACGCTGAATCGACTGGTGGTGTTTTCGTCGCGATCGGCCCAGTAGTTCCTGAGTTATAGAATGGCTGCCATAGGCCACATGGTCATGTGACCTCCCAAGGTCACCGAGGTCACCTGAGGTCACCATATTCGAAACGGCTGATGAAATCGCATACGCTGAGTCGACTGGTGGTGTTTTCGTTGCGATCGGCCCAGTAGTTCCTGAGTTATAGAATGGCTGCAATAGGCGAAAACGTTAAGTTGACCTTTTGAGGTCACCGAGGTCATCTGAGGTCACCATATTCAAAACGGCTGATGAAACCACATACGCTGATTCGACTGGTGGTGTTTTCGTCGCGATCGGCCCAGTAGTTCCTGAGTTATAGAATGGCTGCAATAGGCGTCAATGCCGAGTTGACCTCTTGAGGTCACCGAGGTCACCTGGGGTCACGAGCTTTGAAACGGCTGATGAAATTGTACCCCCTGATTCGAATGGTGTTTCGTTCGTTCCGATCGGTCCAGTAGTTCCTGAGTTATAGAATGGCTGCAAGGGTGGCGGTCGAATAGTGTTGTCCCTACATGACCTCAGGCGATGCTAGGGGCCATTGCTTTGGATTTGTGTTGACGACGAGTTGAAGTTGTCTGCTGCGGGTTCGCCGTTGCTCTGAAGTTTGGTGTTTTACGTCGCCTTCATTGAAGAAGTAAATTCCGAAATGTTTTGCTTTTATTTGAATGTAATTATAACTGAGATGCAAATGTTTTATTCATGATGCATGGGCTCTGTGTGCCAGTTTCAGTTTCGCATTCATTTACATTTTACACTTCAATTTATGACTGATAAGTTCTCATTATTTGTTCTTTTAACCAAAAGTATTGTGGTGAGGGTGACTGATATCATGTCGATTCTGTATTTCATAGGTACATTTCATATATACATACATTAATGCATACCGATACATACTTCTGCAGAAGGTATTTTGATTTTGATTTCAATTTATAAGAAATACAAGTGTTTTTCATTATGTTGTAATTCTGATAGGTTGCAGTCCTAGTTTCATGCTCGTAAGCACTATGTGACTATAGATGATATTTCACGTATTTGTAATTAAGCTCATTTACTAAATGATGAGGAAAATAATTAGCACATTGCATCCCCAAAATGCTCACCACCAGGAACATATAATGCTTAGAGTAGCTATAAAGATTTAGCTAGGATTGTTATTGATCATCTTCATATCTTCTGTTACAGTTCAGACAAAGAAATGGATGCATCTGCCATGGCTCATACTCCAGAGGAGCAGGGCTCCAAGAGGAAGTACTATCGCGACCCTTCCCGCAGGTCAGTCTCCATTCACATTGAGCCCATCCCATCTGCTCTGAAAAATGTATCTCAAGTCTTTAACTGATGTGCATTACTACAGCTGAGTGCTCATTCACTATCTACTATGCTTTACCTACTATTGCCCCATTGACAATCAAATGAAGAAGAAAAAAATCCAAATTTGCTCAGTTTTTTTTTTTGTTATGGATAACTCCCTTTTAAGTTTCACACATCCTTTTCAGTTCATATGCATGGTTGAGCTAATACCCTCTGCCTACGTAAATATTGGTGCCTTGTGGTCTTTGCTAAGGTGCCTCGCTGATTATATGCGACCGTCTGCTCCTATTCTCTCATTAATCTGCGATAGTGCTGCCACCTACATGACAGTGCTTGCACGCTCACGATGTAGGTGACGCCAGTGTTCCGTGTTGCGTAAAATTGGCTCTCCTCGGCTATCGTTTTAGCACATGTGCTATTTTATTTCCTGAGTTCCTCAAAGTTCATCCTTTATAGAATAACTTGCTATTAATTTGTATGTATTCATAAGGTTATTGCAAGGTGCATCGTCGTCATAATTTATGCGCCTGCTTAGCAGTCTGTCGCAAGTCGCAACCGTTCTGTTATTCCAATGGTCTGCCCGCTTTCCATCTTAGTCATGGATGAAGGAGAACCTCCATCCATGGTCTTAGTCGCTGCGATTTGTAAGGTCATTTACGGCGCGTCTAAAGTATGCCGTCAACAGCAGGAAGAGGCATTTGTTATCCGTCAAATTACAGTGTTTTTTATTATGACGGATTGTGTCATCCCACTTTGTTCTACAAACTACCTGTATTGAATGATGAAGGAAAAGCGCGTTTCAGCTGGTTTAGAACCTACTTACCAACCGAGTCAAGCAATTGTTTTTTATATGAAAGCGACGTCCTCGCTTTTTCAATCTTATATGCCCTTGACCACTAAGATTAAGTTCAGTTTTTGGTTGGTTGTCGTACTGCAATAGGCTCATTGTTTGCTAACGCCTAGCCATTCGTAGCTTTCAGAGCTATTCTATCACCTCCCCGAAACACTTATGATAGGTAATGAATGCTAAAAAATGAATAAGAAATATCCCTAAAACTAGCATCAGTTCTCCCTGATAAGTAAGCTATCGTTGTAATCTGCTCGAACCTGGTCGGCCGGTATAAATATCTTATTGAGTTTGTCCCATACGAGAAAAACTGATTGCTACTACATTGCTAAAAACGTGTTCTTTTAATGGTCACCCTCGTCCGTGGTGAAAAAGTTAACAATGTTAATGTACATCAGCATGATGTGATAAGAATAATTTGCCTGATATTCGAGGCATCTGGATATAACAGCGGCTGTTTGTTGAATTGATTCTGGTACAAATCTAGTAGCCATTTCGTGTTACGATTTCATGCTCGTGACCGTATGCCTGGCCGCTGATCTAGTTTAGCCACTGAGTCACTCGCTGGTCCCGATGTTTTCTAGCCGAGTCACTGGACACAGCTTGTGACATGACAGTGTCCAGGTAACGCTGGCAGCGCCTCTTGTCTGTCATGGCTATAATAGGTAATGCAACTCGTAGATAGATATATATCGTAGATATATGGATATAGATAGATGCTGGCTAAGACATGTTCTTCAATGTTACCGTCTAGTTGAAGCAACTCCTCGGACACCGCCGGAGCTCAATGTCATGTGGAGGGGACAACTCGACATACCGATACACACCTATGATTATGACCGTAAATGGGTGTTATGACCAAATGACTAGCTACACAACCAAGCGATTTTCATAGTCCCCATACGTTCTGGGCATGTGGGGCACACCACTAACCAGCTGGTTGTTCTTCACGGTGACATTTGAGCGCTCCAGAACCGCCCCACATGAGGCATGACTGAGTGACCTAATTCTTCCGTTACCGGCCCTGTCTGTGGACCCTACGACCGTGAGAGGAGAGCGGAGACAGAGACCTTGGCGACGATTGAACCGGCGCGCCTGTCCGGTCCGGCTGCCCGCTAACACTGTTCACTGATTGGCGCAGCTGTCTGGTCCCGCTGTCCGTCCCGCCAAGATTACCTTACTAGTCGGTCCGGCGGTCCTTTCCTGCTGCCCCTGTCCGGCTGCCCGCTAACACTGCCCATTGATTGGCGCAGCTGTCTGGTCCGGCTGCCCGGTCCCGCTGTTCTCTAACGCTGTCCGGTCCCGCTGACCCGCTGTCCGGTCCCTTTGTCCCACTGCCCGGTCCCGCTGTCCCGCTGTCCGGTCCCGCTGTCCCGCTGCCCGGTCCCGCTGTCCCGTTCTGCTGTCCCCACCTAACATGCGTTGGAGGACATCGCTTTTGATACATTTTTGTTTGTTTGTTGGAGAAGTGATTATTGTCGGCATTTCGATCCACTTGTCATGGTGAATGATTTGTATATTCATTTCTAAACAGAATAAGCGACCAATTTGTCATTTTGGGCTAATTTCCCTCAAAATAGCGTGGCTGCAATAGTGCAGTCATGTCATCATCACTGTTTCCACTCCGCATTCGTCAAAAGGAGGCGTGAATCGAACTGGGCTAGCAGCAAACTTATGCACACTCTCCGCGATTGTCGTCATAGCCGCTACGTTCACTCGGTTTGGCGCTAGCCTGCCGGTGGGTATTGTTTTTTCCTCTCATTCCGTGCTTATTCGCTCAAGACATCACAAGTGTGTGTTCAGTGATGCTTTTTATGCAAAGTATCCTCAGCAGACTCTAACCAGTAACCTGTTATGTAAGCTCTAGTTTATAAATGCAGTTTCAGCACCATTTTTATGGATGATCCGTTTATTTGACCAATCATGACATTAGTCTATGTTTGGTATGCTTTCTGACGAGTTTGACGTGTGCTTATGGAATACGAGTCGTGTTATTTTCGTCCCCGCTTCCCCATCCGTCTCCCGATCTGTTTTTTTTTTTATCATTCACCGTTGATTGGCCCTGTCGAGACTGGTCGCCGAGCTGGCTCTGTATGTCAGGAGCGAAAGGGTCAGCCGCCGGAGCAGCTTCCCCGTCTGCTGCCTGTGGCACGCGGCACGCGACGCGTTTTTTGTCACCTACCGCCGCCACCCTGTCGTCTGGCCGTCCGCCGCCGCCGGACGAACGTTTACAAACGATAGCAGTCTGCAAGTCATGTATGATCAGAGGGTGCCAAGCAAGATCTTGCTACGATACCAAAGGCCTCTCTGACCGGTGTTGATAAGCAGAGCTGTAGCAAGTTTTCGGTTGAAGATGAGTAACGTGTATTGATGAACGAAGTCTTGCTGAAACGGAGACTTGTATGTGTTCAGATGTTGCAGGGCATTGCAGGGCAGCGCGCTGCGCAAAACAATGCATTCCCAAATGATATTATCAAGACTGCTTGCTACGGGCTAATTTGCTAGACCAATGCTACGACTGAGCGGTGTTTTAGCTAACAGGTAGCTGACATTTCGTACCTTCCGTGGCTATGTCAGTATGGCAAATAACGCTCAGCTACATATGTGTTTGTTTGTGAATTATGATGTTTTGCCGCGGTTCCTTTCCTCCTGCGCGGCGGCTGTTGTCCCATTACCGCCTGGGTCTTGTGGTTCCGGGTTCACCCCACCTCGCAGGCGGCTGTGTCTGCCCGCGGGCACGTTCCGGCCGTGCCCGGGTCGGCGGCGGGCACGTGTGTGCCGAGCACCGAGGCACGGCGCGAGTCTACTCGGTCCCGGATCTGGACCGGGCGACTGCCACCCTGGTCCGCACCGCCTCACCTGTGCCTCTGTTCGGCGCTGCACCTGCCCCGAGACCGGTGCTTAGCCGTCCAGACTCGGTGCTTTGGCCGCTCCGGGCTCAGCGCCCAAAGCCGTCCCGGACCTGGCGCTACAGACGGGCTGGGTCGTCGGTCAAAACGGTGTCAGAGCCAGTAAAGGTGCGTTTTCGAACGCTGCGGGCGCGGGTTCGAGCTGGGACTTCAACTGGCGGTGGTCGGAACGAGTGGATGGGAAATGGCTTGAGAGGAGGGCGAGCTGGCATTGTTTACCAGCGATGTTACAGCGATGATTGGGAGGGTCTAAAAACATTATAATGTTTATGGGAGACTGGCTTCTTATCTGAGCTAAAATTATCTGATAAGGAGAAGACGAAACTCCATTGAACTGAAATTTTGCATACCTAATCAGAGCATTGATTTATGGTTTGAAAAAGAAGCATGATAACTACTTTCGGCCCTTTGTCAGTGCATTGGAACAGGCGAACTCAAGGACAGACGTGACATGTTGAATCGACTGTGACCTTAGCAATAGCAGGTTAAGATGAGTGGTCCTCTCCTCGTTGCTACCTGAGAACAGAACCTCAACAGCAGCAACATTACGGTTTCCGTCATCCAGCGAACTCGACTTAGTCAAACTCAAAAGGTCCGGTTGTTGTTGTCAGAATTACGAAAACTGATGCAATCCGTTTCATCAGCTTTTGGTGGGCACCGTTGTTGCGGCCGTGCCGCTCATTTTTTGGTTAGCGGGGCGGCTGGATAATGGCCTTGCCGTTAATCGCGCTGGGCTTTCTCTGCAAACGCTGGTGGTGGCTGATGTAACGGTTGCGGCCACGGTGAGTAGGCACGGCGGTACGGTGCGGTGCGTGTCACCTGGTTCATTGTGTCCCTCCCGGTGTATCGAGAATCGGGATATTTCCCGGCCGGCCCCCGCACCGCTTCTCACTTGGGCCTCTCACCTGTTATGGGCTAAACAGAGGTGACAGTGTTTCATGTGATTCGCTGATCTCTATTCGTTCCAGCGCCGGGTTGCACGAGTGCTGACTCAGGCGAAATGTTATGACGTGACAAGTTTCAATTATGTAACGTAGCGGTTTGACCGGTATGTTTTATGTCCAGCGCGTTCGGAAAGCGATTCCGCCAGCTGAGAAGTGTGCCGTCTGCTAAAAAGATAGGTGACTCCTTGTTCCCGAGACTATGCACAATTGAATTGCGGTGCAATGCACGCCAAAATATCCGTCGGCGACTTCAGAGCTGTT